TTTATTTATTTGTTAATTTACATGTGTTTAGGGCCTATTTCTTTATTACATGTAACAACTATTTATTCATTTATTTTCATATTTTAAATTAATAATTTAATTATCCAACTAATATCTATTGATTACTTATTTATTGCTTTCAGATGAGCATAACGATAATCGCCTTCCTGGCTGTTGTCTTCCTTGTCGGACTACAAATTCCATTTATACGAGCATGCGCTTTAATGATGTAAACTCAGACAGCTTGATTGAGTGACTATACCTTGACCAAGCAATTGGCCTATTTTGCAGCAGTACTAAACACAGAGTGATCAATACAGATCAAGCATCAAACAATATGACCTGCAATAAGAGTTGGTTAAATATTAAGTCATTTTTCTGTTTTCAGCAAATATTGGAAAAATGCACTTTTATGAAAACATTGTGTGTACCACAGCTAAGCAAAGAATTTGAATCTCTATTCATTTTCTTCATTTGAAAGACTTTTGTAAACTCTGCAAAAGGAAGATTTTTTGTTATCAAATGTTTAAATATTCAACATGAAATATCTGTCTTTCTCCTCATTTGCTGTTTAATGTATATTTGCAAAAGGACAAGTAAAAAAAAAAGCCTTTATCTAATTTAAGGCTATCACCTATTGGGGTCGTAGCAAAAAAGGATGGGGGTTGGCGTCTCATCCACCACCTTTCATATATATATCCTTCTAATTTTAGTGTTAATGATTTCATAGACCCTGAATCTTGTTCTGTTCATTACACTTCTTTTGACGAGGTGTTGGACATGATAGGGGCACTGGGAAAAGGGACTTATCTTGGAAAAATGGATGTTAAATCAGCTTTTAGATTACTTCCGGTTCACCCTTCTGACCATCAATTACTTGGTTTCAAATTCAATGATCAATATTATTATGATATGTGTCTACCAATGGGTTGTTCAATTAGTTGTGCTTTATGGGAAAAGTTTGCACACTTTATTCAGTGGGTTGTAGAAGTAAAAACTGGAGTTCACACTTTGAACCATTACTTAGACGATTTCATATTTGCTGGAGGCACATTAGAAATATGTAACTTGTTGATGTTTTCATTCAAAAGTACCTGCTCTGATTTTGGTATCCCTCTTGCAGAAGAGAAAACAGAAGGTCCAAAAACAGTTCTTACGTTCTTGGGTATAGAAATTGATACAGATAATATGGTTATTAGAATTCCTGAAGAAAAAATTATCGATCTGGAGAAATCACTGCTAGAGATGTTACAAAAAACAAAAGTTACACTGAGAGAATTACAATCTTTAGTAGGTTCCCTAAATTTTTGTGCTAAAGCTATTCCATCTGCTAGGGCCTTCAACAGAAGATTTTGTGATGCTATGTGTGGAATAAAATATTCCAGTCATTTCATTAGGGTAACAAAGGGAATGAAATCCGACCCTCATGTGTGGCTAGAATTTATACACAGGTTCAATGGTAGTTTAAATTTCATGAATGTTAATTGGTTGTCTAACAACCACTTCATCTATACACTGATAGTGCAGGCAATCAACATTTAGGGTGCGGCGTTTACCTTCATGGGCAATGGGCATATTTTGGTTGGCCGGATAGCTGGAAGAAGCCAGATATTATGTTAGACATAACGTTTTTAGAGTTAGTGCCAATTGTCCTTGCAATTTTCTTATTTAAGAATGAATTCCTCGACAAGAAGATATTGCTACACACTGACAATAAAGCTTTAGTTTCCATTTTAAACAAAAAATCATCAAGATCACCTCGGGTTATGGAATTGGTTAGGCCATTAGTTTTGCAATCTATGGTAAACAATATTTACTTCAAAGCTTGTCATATAGATGGTTATAACAATGCTATAGCTGATTCTATTTCTCGCAAACAGTGGACCAGATTTCGTGTTCTCGCCCCCAAATCCGATCAACACCCAACACCTATTCCAGAAGATTTTATAAAAATGATCTTGGAGCTGAAATTAAACGCCTGACGCTAAATTCGGTATCATTAAATACAAGACAAACATACTCCACTAGTCTAAGAAGTTTTGAGCAATTTAGAATTTTGTATGAACTGCGTTCTATTTGGCCCCCACCTGTTCCACACATCTGTATGTTTATCGCTCATTTATCCCTGCAAGGTTTGACTCATGCTACCATTTCATCCTATATATCAGGAATAAGTTTCAAATGCAAAATATTGGGATTCTGTGACAACACAAAAAAATTTTTAATTAGAAAATTGTTGGAAGGAATCAAAAGGTCAAACCATTCAAAAGATTGTAGACTTCCTATCACAAAACACATTCTTGAGAAACTCATAAAAACAACATCTTTAGTTAAACTTTGAGGCCATCCTTTTTTCAACAGCATTTTCAGTAGCATATCATGCTTTTCTTAGAGTCGGTGAATTTACTTTTAGTTGTTCAAATCAAGCAAATCCAATTATTTCTTGCAAACATATAAAGTTTATAAAAAACGAAGATTCTGGGGAAAGTTTCATAGAGCTTCGAGTTCCTTTCTCAAAAACTGACCAACTTGGGAAAGGGACATCCGTATTTTTGCAACAAACAAAGAATTCTATCTGTCCAGTTGAGTGGCTGAAAAGGTACATTGCTACAAGGCCAAAATTTGACGGCCAGTTATTTATACATATGGACGGTAGTCCTTTCACAAGGTTTCAGTTCTGTTCGTTATTAAATAAGACTCTTGAAGTAGCCGGCCTTCCAAACTCACGATACAAATCTCACTCTTTCCGTATTGGGGCCGCGTCAGATAGTTTCTCTTACGGTCATTCGGAAACAGAAATAAAAAAGCAAGGTAGATGGAGTTCGAATGCCTTCAAAAGGTATATTAGGATTAAGTGATGTCCTCAATTGATTTTCGTATTTTTATATAGGAAGTGAAAAGGTTATTTGGACTGTTGGTTCTTCAATTATTAAGTGGGCGTTCTACTATGCAAGAAAATCCTTAGATGGTATGGATTTAGGTTTAAGACGAGGAAACTACAGAATTTTTTGGCAGGGAAAGGGAGGTATGAAATGGTTTGACCTTATTCCAAAAATAAAGCTTTTGTTAAGGTATGAATCTCCACCAGAAATTTTAATTATTCATTGTGGAGGTAATGATATAGGTAAAATTCCATTATTGCAACTACGGTCCATTATGAGTTCAACACTCGAGGAACTTAAACAACTACTCCCTAAAACTACACTTGTTTGGTCAAATATGTTGCCAAGAATTTCATGGCGTTTTAGTTCAAACTCGAAAGCGCAAAATCTTGCTACTGTCAGACTCAATAATTTTATGAATCATTTAATCACTGTCAATGGTGGGTTCTTTATCAAATACCCAGAGATTACTTGGGATTCAAAAGAAATGTTTAGTAGTGACGGAGTTCACCTGTCATACTTCGGTAATTGTTTCTTGCTATTCAACTTACAAAGGACTCTGCAAGAATGTGTTTTACTATAAAATGGTAAATATGTAGATTGATCTTCAAGATGTGGCCACACTTACACATACTTTGCGTCTCTCATTCCATCTAACTTTGTTGGCGGTGGTTGTCCTTTTCATCGGACAACCATTTGGCGGTTATTCGAGACGCCTTCTATGATACAAGTATTTTTTCACAACTTCTGCTGAGTATCTGCTCACCCAGTACCAGTATGAATGTTGTCACTATTCACATTTTAAGGAATTTATAAGGATAAGGATTATAAGGTTTATAAGGATAAGGATATATAAGGTTTATAAGGATAAGGATTATAAGGTTTATAAGGATAAGGATTATAAGGTTTATATATAAGGATAAGGATTATAAAGTTTATAAGGATTAATGTTATATACGATTAAATAAAGTATATATTGTATTATGTAGGTCGTGACCACAAACGCCAACTCAAAAATAAATAATTATAAGAAGTTATGCTTGTCTTCATCGTCTTTAATAATAAGATTTATTTCCTTTACGAAACAAGAAAACATTGATGTAACCATCAATTGTCGCCCGGGAAATAAATAAAGTAAACAATTGAAATGAGTCTTGATCATCAAACCGCTTCGATATGTGTGAAAAAGGCATGCGTCTAAATGATGGAGACAATAGTCGAGAATATTTTGAAAACTTATAGTCGGATGAAAATCGAACAAAAACGATACCCTTTTAAACTTTATCAATTTCTCAAGTAAATGTTGGCTGCATAAAATATAATTTGAAACCAGACACATGCATCACCTATTTTCAAAAATGTCTTTCACTTTAAGAATATAAAACACGAACTGTGTAAAGTACATTTTTACGTTTTTATGCGATAAGTAAAATTCGATGTTCTAAAAAAAGGGACCTGTCGTTTTTTCGATAGTAAATGATAAGCAACTTTATATATTAAATATGAAAAACATATATATTTTTACAGATTCACTTTATGTAAGTAAATATATTGTGTATCTCGTAATTTATAAAGGGAAAGAACATTCTGATTAACAATCTTTTTAATGTTTAGAAAAACCTTTAATTCTGAATAACTTCTCCCACCTCAATCCCCATATACCAACACTTAAACTTATATGTATAGAGCAGCCCGGTCCTCCGGGCTGCAATAAATCCAATTATTACAGCGATGGTTACTGTTGTGCATGAGATCCGCGCCTTAGATTTGTGCGCGTAATGTCCTGCTGTAGATGACGTTATCGCCGTTTATGTTTGACGTCACAATATTTGTTACAAAGAAGTGGGGGGGGGGGGGACCACCCTTTCAATGAACATTTTTTTTTATAGAAAAAGATTATGTTTTGGAAAAAAAAAGTTGGGGGACCCCCCCCCCCCCCGATTCTACGTGCCTGTTATCTCATTCAATTTTGATTTTGTTTAAACAATAATAATGATGATGACGATGTTACTTGATGATGATGGTGATGGCATTAAAGAATTTTCAGGACAACTGGAATGACTTTGAATTTTCTTTTTCTTTATTGAAATTTTATCATCTTCATTATATATAGTGAAATAGTAAAATTACTTGGGTTTAGATAGCGTAGACATAAATGTTACGGTTTTTCTGTCTCCGTAACAAAGTGCCATAATAAGCCCACTTTGCTTTACAACAATCTCTCCTCGCTGTAGTTTTAAGCCCTTTAACGACCTTGGCATTCCCTTCCTACACACCCTTACAGTGCCCGTCATGTAAGTGTTTGCCTCAAAGAGAGCAGAACAAAGAGCTGGGCTGGAGAAGTAGTTGTCACAGACTAGATGGTGATATCTGTACAGATAGGGATGGATCAACTGCATCACCACATCGTACCCAACACCGTGGGGACTGCGAGCGACACCCTCTTGTCTACCTGTACACGAATAAATTATTTTCAGTGAAATATTCCTTTTCTTGTTTCAATTTGATAAGTAGTCTTAAAATGAACAGGGTCGTATAAGGCGTTCGCAATCCCATTTTTAACAATGAAGAATTAGGGACATGTATATAGAATAGGTTCAATGTCAGAGTCTCAATATTCCAATACGTATGCTTTTTTATGATCTTGTGAAAATATATGCACATTTATCAACAAATATGATAGTCTAAACCATCAAAGAATGCCAAATCTGTAATTATTACTTCATTCGCGATTTAATGAGCCACTACAACACCGGACTATTAATCATCTAAAAACTTTATGGTATATTTTGTAAACTTTTGTATCACAGATTTTAAAGAAATATTGTTTATCAGGATTTTATATTATATATTTTTACATTATGCAATTAACTCGAATTGCTTTGAGTGAATGGATTTAATATCTGATTTAAAAATACATAGTGATCAAAGCAGATTCCTAGACAATTTTCAAGAAAATAAAATTAACAATCAGAGTGCAAATAAGAGTTGTTTATGTGGTCCCGCATTTTTGGCGATGAATATTTTTTTTTTTTTTGGACTACGAGAGTGTACATGTTTGAATCTGATTATTGTCTTTTCATTATTTCCCCCTTAAAGCCAGTTGTCCTTACATTGTAAATGCTGGGGTTCGATAGGCCTTGGACGCCCCTGTTAAGCAAACGATAGAATAAATTAAATGCATGTATTTGCGGTATCAGTAACCTGCATATAATTGAATTGCGGCATTGTAGCCTGTGTCCGATTCTGCCAGCGCAAACAACTTTGCTCCCCACTGATGAGACTTTTTAGCCGGCACATACTGTACAATGTCGTTTCTACCCTTTGTAATGTAAAAAGACAGTTATTGTGTATATATCGTTATTTGGATTAAAAAATATATGAAATGCAGTGCATGTATATGATTAATGATACATATTTCAGTATTAATGAAAGATATAAGAGATTGTTGAGATGAATATATTTTTCAATGTTTTAAAACTTTTAATATTTTTTATACCTTAAATCCAACCATACTCTCATCAATGGTTAGATCTCGGGCTAAGTCATATGCGTTTGGAAATGTTTTGTTGAGAAGATCCAAAATAGGTCTAAACTTGTGTGATGGATCATAATTGTCATTTCCACGTGGTACTTGCTTTGAATTATCATTGCAGTGAAGAAACTTTGACAATATTTGAAACCTGTCTCGCGTCATGATTTCGGGAAATCCAGGTGTACGGAAAAGAAAGGATTGTTCTGAATCCTGCCAGTATGCCTCTATACTGGGTTTCCGCAAAATACCCATTGACAGGTATAAACCTAAGTAGGCAGACATTTCATCAACATTTGTTTCAGACCACTGAAGACATCTTGAGTATGGCATAGGACTATATTGAGGATTAGATAAAAACTGATCCGCATGTCTATTTGTTTCTTCCACCAAAATTTCAATTAAATTTCTCCCTTCTTCTGGAAAGGTTAACTTGTGAAAATACTCAAGAGGTAAGGCATCAACCCTCGGGGGGCTTACTGGACCCAAACGGCGACAGAAAGAATTAATTTCATGTGGGTACTCAAAGTTTTCGACATACCGTACATTTGTCCATAATCTCTCAATGAATGGAATTTCTCCGTCGTCAGTTTCAGACTCATCATCTGTTTGGAACTCATAATCAGATTCACTTTCCGATGTAGAATCCATGATATCAAAGAGCACCGTATAAATGACGTAATTAATTAATAAAATGACGTAATTTTTGAGATTTTACGGGAAATTTCGCATAAAATTTGAAGCCTTTTATCATTCCTGTAAAAGTTGTTTTACTATAAAAAGTGTACAGGTAGTTATCAATTTAATCAGCTTTTATTTAACAGCAAAGCAATTTATCTATCGTATCATAATGTTTATAATGTGTTTATTTAATTAAAGAATTAATAAATCATAATTATAGTAATTTTATATTTTTTTATCACATGCATTAACAAAACGCACAAGAATATTCTTTAAGGCATAAGGTGCATAGGTAAACAAAGACGTTACTTTTCTCTTAATTATAGTTTTTATCAACTAAACTTGTCATTAAATTTAAAATGCCACCTCATATGTAATAATTTTAGAATCGACCACTTGCTCTCTATGGACGGGTAGAATAATTCAAAATTTAAAAAAAAAAAGAAAAAAAAGGGGGTTTGTTACCGACAGTAAAACTTAATTTTTGTTACGGACGAAAATGTCAAAAACATACATGAATAATATTTCTCTTTAAACTTTAAAAATGAATTTACATTTAAACGTATTTTAATTTATAATAAAAAAATAAAGTAAATTAAAGAACTAACATTTAATTTTTATTTTATTTTAGCTTTCAATTATTTATCTATTTTTCAGTGCCAGACAAACAAAGTTTTCCAAAATTTACCAAAATTACTTTACATATCACGGAAATAAAACAATGACGTTGCGGGGGACATATATGTCCTTCCCGCAGTGAACGGTAAAAGGACATATATGTCCTTCCCGCAGCCAGAGGGTTAATAATAGATTTTATAATCATAACGTAGTTAACAAACTCACACAACAGAAAGTAGAATTACTGAAAAATACGCACGATTCATACTGAGTATAAGTATGATTGACAATTTCACAAACTAACGAGAATACATTCATATTTATGTTCCTTTGTTATTGTTGCAAGTCTGAAGCCAAGTCAACTGAGCTAGTTTTTTGATGGATAGAAGAAAATAACAACAGTATTGAAAGTGAAAAAATGTCATTTATTTAAGTAAATGACGCAAAACAAAAATACACATAGTAAGGGGGTCAGAAGAGACTAGAAAAACTTCTAAGAACACAAAAATCTTTGGCATCATATTATGCAAACTGACCCCCTTTAAAATAAACATACCATAAAGCAGGCACTGATATGCGTGCCATCAAAAAAGGGTGGGATAAAACAAAATGAACGCCACAATCCAATTGCAAATTGGATCCACCCACCCAAGGTCATATTCATGGACATTGTTAAGTTGCGATTGAGGAATCCGATTCCGAAGAAATGTCCGAGCTGCATGTTTAGATTTCCTATCTTTCTACTAAATTTTTATGCTAAAAAATTTTATCCATTACTCTTTCTCCCTCTCTCTTGCGATTACTGCCCTTTGTTCTCTTGCGTGTAATGTCTAACTTTAATATGAAGAGGAATACATAATATTAGAAATCATTACCTTTATGTTAGTTTTATAATGTGCAACAAATAAAAATATAGTCATCCTTTTTTCTTTAAAAGTTATAGTTTTGGAAACCTACCCAAATAAATTTGCGTGAAAAAATGGACGATTGATATGAAATTTCTATCTCGTAAATATCTGATTTTCTATGAATAAAGTCTCAAACTTCTTCTCATAAAAATATAGGGAAGATTACATTAAGATTTTGCGAAAAAATAACACAGAACTAAATCAACATGCCTCTGACCTTCGATATCAAGGGCACAAAAAGTGATTAGCTCAAAATATTTACCAATGTCTTTTGTCGATTGTTAGTGTCGACAAAGTCTTTAAGAAAATGAGGCTTTTTACATAAAAAAAAAATGATTGCTTAAAAAAAGAGATGTTTGATATACCAAGAATTGACAGAAGTTTATACACGTTAGTATCGTCTATCCCCTTTCTAGTTACATGTAAAAAAAAATAACCAAAAGAAAAAAACAGAATGTTGCATTATGAAAAAAGCTTCTCAGTCTAATTTGCATAATTTTTTCCTGAGTATGATTGGCAATATTAGCATATTTGAAGTTGCGTGTACTGCAAAAATATAGAACTGTACAAAAAAGTATTGTAACACATTGTGTTAGAATCAAGTACCATGAGAGATTCGTACATGTATAAGCGTATCTATAGTGGCGAGTTTTGAAGGGGTTACGGGGTTGTAACTCTTTAAATTTACAAGTAACCTATAGCGAAAAAAATCCTTCTGGCCATGTACGTCTTTCCTATAAACAAATTAAGCGTTCTTGCTGTCTGAAACGAAGTTTAAAAATATAAAAGAGTTTTTAGGATGAAAGTGAAAATAAATCTTCTTTTCCTTTCACCGAAAATCCTCTTATAAGAATTTTATTTACATAATGCATATGTGCATTGTAATGCAGGTTGTTTTGAATTCATTATGATTTACAGATTTTATCTCCATAATGTTACATGGCTTGAGGGGGGCGGTATGAGCGACAGAGGCAACGTTGTTACAATTTTTAAGCACACATTTGCATGATACTCTTTTTTTTTTATTGAATGTCTCTACTGCTTAATGGAATGATTGTAATATTCCCTGAAGTATGGCTAAGGTCTGTTATAAGGTGAACATTTACTCAAATTACACTGATGGCCTAACGGTAAATCATTTAACGCTATCCATTCAAAAGCTATGGTTAATAGAGTAGAACCATACAAGTAAAGGTTACATATAGGGTTTATTAACAGTACGCATTTGAATAAAGCACCAAACGAACATTCATATGCAATGAGAAAATATGACATACCGGGTAATGCGTAGAACAACGAGGGAGTCATGTTGCAAATGCATTTTGGCTAACATTCAACGCAACGACACGATATCTGAACAGGACAAAAATTATAAAAATATAAAATTTAAGTAAGGTGAATGCATACAAGGGTAAGGGATAGTGAATGTCAAAGCCTTATTACATACTTGGTCAAATAAAGAATATTTTATAGACATCATCTCAGCGTGCGGATAATTTAGATACTTTTCCTAACGGTACAACAAATAATATCCAACTGGGCTTTAAAGCTGACATATCATGCATGTTAGTAAACATATAAGTATTGTTCTTCAAGCATACAAAATTCGTCTTCATTAAATACGCGGACAAACAACGCAATGATCTAATTGTGAACTGGGAAGCAGTATTTTCTGTTGTGTGAAGTTATCGCCCGTATAATTTTAAATTGCATTCATTTTTTACATTAATAAACATTTCTGCTAAATCCATTTTAAAGTAAAAAGATCAAGAATAAACATTTTATAATATATTTTAAGATAACGATAAAAATTTTCTATTTGTTATAGAATAAGTATTTTCCCCATTATTTTTTATTGTAAAAACTATGGAACATCTATGTATTAAGCATATATATAATTTATTTTAAAAGTGTAATTGAATCAGACGGACAAGAAATAAATAAAGAGAGAGGGAGAAAGTGGGGAGGGAGGCAGGGAAAGAGAGAAAGAGTGGGGAGAGAGAGTGTGAGTGGGGGCAGAGAGATAGAGAGAGAGGAGAAAGAGTGAGTGGGAGAGAGGGTGAGAAAGTGAGTGGGAGAGAGAGAGGGGGAGGGAGTAAGTGGGAGGGAGAGTGATTGGGGAGAGAGAGTGATTGGGGAGAGAGTGGGAGGAGAGAGAGATGGGGAGAGAGTGAGTGTGTGAGAGAGTGTGTTGGAGAGAGAGTAGGAGGGGAGAGAGAGTGAATGTGTGGGGAGAGAGTGAGTGGGGAGAGTGTGTTGGAGAGAGAGTGAGAGGGGAGAGTGAGTGGGGGAGAGAGAGTGAATGTGTGGGGGGAGAGAGAGTGAGTGGGGAGAGAGAGTGAGTGGGGGACATAGTGAGTGGGGAGAGATTGAAAGTGAAGAGGGGGAGAGGGAGAGAGAAGTAAATGGGGAGTGGTGAGCAATTGGAGAAAATGGGAGAGTGTATTTGTGGAGTGAGTGGGTGGGGAGTGAGAGTGGGGAGTGAGTGAGTAGATGGAGGGGGAGAGAGAGTGAGTGGAGAGTGAGGAGGAGAAGAGTGATAGCAGGCTGAGGGGGAGAGATTGGAGAAAGAGAGAGTGGTGTTTCAGTTTCATGTTAAAGTTATGTTATGTTATTTTTAATTCTCTGGTATGGGTACTTCAAAATTTACTTATTTTGACCCGCTTGATATCATACTTGTAAATTTCTTCTACTTGTATGAAACAAGATATTTAACTTGAATGTGTTGCAAGTTAACTTGAATGCATTTTTGATAATGAGAAATCATGGAGAGATAACCGTGCCACAATTTTTTAAATTTTTTTTTTATGTCATTTTATTTAACGATATTTAACGATTAGTTCTTCCAAACTTCTTTCTTTTCTCCTCACTAAAATATTAAAGGCAGTGAAGGAGAAACTTCAGGAGTACTGTGCAACAATATATTCGAGAAGTTGTGTAAATCAGATGTGGATACTTAAAAATTCCAAGGAACTTTTGGAGAAATTTAAAATCACAAAAGTTTACCAAAATAACATACAAACGTACGAATTTTCAACTCTTTATACAACCAAATTAAAGTCCAGGCTTTTTTTACATTGTTGATAGCTGCTTTTTCAATAAGAATGGAACTCAAACATTTATTTAGCTTGTCATTGGTCATTTACTAAATTATTTTGTTAAAAAACATTCTGATTGTAAACATAAGTACTCTGAAGTTGATATTAAAAAGATATTTGAGTTTCTGATTGACTATTTCTATGTGGTTTTTGGAGACCAGATCTTTCAACAATCTGTCGGAACTCCTATGGGTACCAATTGCGCCCCGTTATTAGCAAACTTATTTTTGTGTTCATATTATGTGTGCTGTGGCCGTCATCTCGACATTTAGATATAATTATCGACGACATATTATCAATTAACAATAGTTATTTCCATTCATATGTCGACACGATATATTGCCAT